ATTACCTTATTCATCTTTTGCTTCTGTTGCCTTTTGGCATAAAGTACACATAAAGTGAATTAGTACATTTTTTGTATGGAAGTCAAAATACTACATTGTTTACATTTTGCTACTATTATGGCAAATAATTTAACTTCCTGCACTACTTTCTACATGTGATAAACATCTAACATGCTCTTAAATTTTTATTTATTAACATGTTATGAAACCAATATTTGTATTTTCTAAAGAAGGAAAAATATTTAAATGTTTCTAAGGCATAATGGGCCTTTAAAAGAAATGGGAAAATGATTGTTAGGGAAAAAAGTATACATAATGAAACATACCAGTAAATACTTTTGTCAGCAATGTGATTGTTAATGATATGGCTTTATCTTATGAATAAAGAATTGGATTATGTTATATTTGTTTTGTTTTATTTTCATGAAGGTCGTGTAATAAGACATCTTTATATATGGTCAAACTTTTATTTCATACTGTGAATTCACTTACAAAAAATGTACTTTCCTGAGCATGGCATTAGTTTACAGGAAACTATAAAGTTGTAGACGTTTTGGAAACATTGTCGGTTACCCATGGTATATATTCTGTACATACTTCAATCTGTTAAGGTATGTATGTATGGAATATATACTGTGGGTAACCCACAATGTCCTGAAACCAAATAATATTATGCAATAAGAGTAAAGTTTCTTACTCAAGGGTGCAATGACTTTGATTATAAGTTCAATGCATTAACCACTTGGGCATGCATGGAATTTTGTGATTTTGTCATAAAGGAAATTTTTGTGGGTTCTTAATTTCAACGATTGTAAAGGGGCTGACAGAAATATATATATATATATTATGTAGAATATGAATCAGAAATTTCAAGTAAAGATACATATGTACTGGCATAAAATTTTGTTAGATTTCTAAACATGTGGATAGGGCTATTAACATGTGGATAGGGCTATTAACATGTGGATAGAGCTATTAACATGTGGATAGAGCTATTAACATGTGGACAGGGCTATTAACATGTGGATAGGGCTATTAACATGTGGACAGGGCTATTAACATGTGGACAGAGCTATTAACATGTGGACAGGGCAATAAATTTAATTTTTAATTTTTTTTTTTGTATTTTTTTTATAAAATTTTAGATTTTTTTTTTTAATTGATTATTTTTGGAGTTATTTATATTAATTTTTATTTTTTTTAATTTTTTTTAAAAATTTTTTTTATAATTTTTTTATTTTTTTTTTTTTTTAAAAAAACATGTGGATCAGGCTATTAACATGTGGATAGGGCTATTAACATGTGGATAGAGCTATTAAAACATTGTGGGATAGAGCTATTAACATGTGGACAGGGCTATTAACATGTGGACAGGCTATTAAAATGTGGACAGGGCTATTAACATGTGGATAGAGCTATTAACATGTGGATAGGGCTAATTTAACATGTGGATAGAGCTATTAACATGTGGGTAGAGCTATTAAAAGCATGTGGGACAGGGCTAATTAAAACATGTGGAAGGGGCTATTAACATTGGGGGCTAATTTAACATTGGAGAACAGGGCATATTAAATGTGGATAGTGAGCTATTAACGATGTGGATAGGGGCTAATTAACTATGTTGGATAAAGCTATTAACATGTGGGATAGAGCTATTAACCATGTGGTAGGCTATTAAATATGGGGAATGGGCTATTAACATGTGGATAGGGCCCTATTAACAATGTGGACAGGGCTAATTAACATGTGGGGAATAGAGCTTTAACATTGGGATGAGAGCTATTAACATGATGGATAGAGCTTTTAACATGTTTTGCAACCAGGGCTATTTAAACATGTGGACAGGGCTAATAACATTGGATTAGGGTGCTATTAACATGTGGATATGGCTATTAACATGTGGATAGGGCTATTAACATGTGGATAGGGCTATCCAAGAAAACACCAAACAAGGATCAAAACCAACGAACCTTGAATTACTAAACTAACCACTCCAAGACAAGTGACAGACTTCCTATTTAGACAAGTGGCAGACTTGAAGTTAAAGGAACAACTTATAACTGACCTTGCTCTATTATATTGCCAAGTCAGACTAATCACTTTCAGTTCCAACAAGATAAGGGACAAACTTGTAGGTATCAAAACAACAAAAAGACATAATTCCTGATCTTTTATTAACAGAGACACCATTGCAATATTTTTCCTCTCATAAATTGTTAACATAATCAAAATCTAGATAATGACAGTTTGGCTCTTTCAACACAAATTTTACCTACAAACGTTAAAAGAAAAAATACAAAAGGTACTTGTTGATGCATGGTTTAACCAAAAACATGAATGTTTTCTTGTCAAATAAGTATTAAAAGATACAAAAGCCTTTTCCATGCTAAATTACAAAGACATTTCAATCAACAAAACATTGGTGACTTGATCATGCTTTCAGTTTCAACAGTAGTTAAAAGTTTTCACATTAAAAAATTTTTTATAAAAGTATTTTTGTATAAAAAAATGAAAAAAACAGAAAATCATTTTCATTGTTTTGTTCCAAAATTTTCAATTTTCATGATTTTTCCCATTACAAGTAAAATATTTTTAAAATAATGAAAAAAATTTTTTGGAAAAAGGGGAATAAATTTTGTCCAAAAGTGAAATGGCAGAGTTACATCAAGGCAGAACTTCTTTTAAATATATCTAAAATTATTATTAAGGGAGGGATATCAGATCACAGATTTAGATTATAATGTTCTTTCAAAAAACAATTGCAAAACTACACGCTCATATACATGTATACACAAATATGATTTTATTAAACAAGGACATTATTTGTTAGTCAACTAAATATCCATTACCCCCTTATCCGTGCTGGAACCAAAAAGTGCTTAGCCTTTGTTAACTGCCCCGTCCCCATTCCATGGCCTCCTTCCAAAAGTATAGTGTCAGGCCAACCCTATGTATCCATGCGAGTCTGACCAGACTCTTATACTAAACTGTTTTGCAGACAAACTTTCATTTTGTTATTTTCCCCAAGACTTGATAATGGACTTTCCTAATTATGGAAGCTTGTGAAGTCCATGTAAGAAAACAAGCAGGTTAATGGTCATGTATAAGTAATAATTAAATTACACATAATTGTTTAAACAAAAAACAACAACAGTAAAATGGTGAGTTCTCTTACTGCCTTTATACCATCATGTGAAAATATAAATAGCCACCGCCAGTGGGGGCAAATGCTTCCACAATTTTCACAATAACAATACTTCCCCCCCCCCCCCCCAAAAAAGTCGAGCTAACAATCTTACAATTATCATCACTTCATATCAACTTGTATTAGCCTCTTGGAAAATAGGGTTTCTGTATTTTCCTAGATTTGTTTTTAATATAGGAAGCAACAACTGATGTCAGTTCTTAATACATTTATAACACATGTATATATTATATACATATACACATAATCATTTCAATTTATTGCATACCAATTTGACTCATACAATTCAGTATACATATAGAAGAAAGTCCAAGTTTTTTTTCTATAAATATGGGATTTATTTTTCATCGAGGGGTATGAAAATAAATATTTCACAAGATTAGTGGCTATAATCTTGAGTGAGATAATTTTCATACCACTCTACATGTATAAAAAATAAATCCCATATTTACAGAAATAACTTGAATTTTCTGTTATTTCACAAGATTAGTGGCTTTAGTCTTGAGTGAGATAATTTTCATACCACTCTATAAAAAATAAATCCCATATTTACAGAAAAAACTTGATTTTTCTGTTAATTACTTTTTCTCTGTTTTGAGATGATAAAATAGCTATTCCAGTTGATTTACTTTCTTTTTTATTTATTTGATATAAACTTAGAAGAAAGTAGTCAAGCAAAACACCAGTGAAAATATGTAAAATATGTTACACTACAGTGAAAAATAAATTGATACAGTGAAAATACAGAAAATGAAAAATATGCATTTTATTTCATCAACATTTCTCAAATATCTTATAATTGTATAATAAAATTTATTCTTTTTTTTCATGTTTGATATTGAGTTGTACAAAAAAAATAATATTAACAACAAACATTTATTGCAAATGGTTAATTCATAAAATCTAGAAAAAAAAATCTTTGTTCCAAATAACACACTATTTGTTCACTTTCTATACTTTCTATAAGGTTAGATAAGTAGTTTAAAATATTAACATTATTTTCTATTAAAACACCTCAAAATACTTCTTTTCCCACCAACTTGTTCCACACTTTCTTTTCTTCAATTTCTCAAGAAAAAAAAATTCAACATCATTTATATAAAATGTCTGTCTCTCACAATTAAACATCAGGTTTTGTAACCCACCCAACTCTCATTCCTACAGCCTCTCTATAATAAACAACTTTTACCTTTCTAAGGTTAACTTTCAGATTTTATCTATCTTTCAACTCGAGTCTTCAATCAATTCTCTTCATTCAGAGACTATAATGTTTGTTTGCCTTTAAAAATCAATCTGTATCATTGTTTGCCTTCACTTTGTCATTCATTTCTTTGTGTGCCTTTACTGAAACACACAGGTATTATCTTGCTTGAGTTTTACAAATAGTTACATCTTTCTCTATATTTGCTTTTTTTGTTAAACAAAACATCCTTTCTTTTTGTTTGTCTTTACTATATACAAACTTTCTCTTTGTTTGCCTTCCCTATGAAGGGTTTTTCTTTGTTTGCCTTCACTATGGACAAACTTTCTCTTCGTTTGCCTTCCGCAAATACTTGTTGTCTACAAATCTTTCTTCGTTGCCTTCACTTACAAAACAACTTCTGTCTTCTTCATTATCACTTAACCTGTCCTCTATTCATCACTGTGCAAGAACAACTACTTTTCATGACACTTCAATATACTTTTGATCTGCCAGAGGCTTCATAAATTAAAAGAACTATTTATTTAATATGCTTACAACATCTTATTCTTCAATCAAATTCATCAATATTTATTCTATCGGCTATGCTCCATAAACCATCCTACCATTATTGAAATCAAACAGATGTTTAGTTCCATTCCTGGTAAATATCACATCTTCTGCTTGGCATAACTGTTGCTCCTTTTCGTCATGTCTTTGTCCACGCTAGTGTTCGGAATTCTGCTCATTCTCTTATAAGCAACACTGCTTTTCCTCTTCTCCACAATATCTTACATGCTTTCATACCATAACAAGATTCAACTCTTCAAAACCATATCATATGCCTTGCATTGCTTTAATGAAACAGGTGCCTGCTTTCCTTCAAAGCAAGTCATTGTCCTTGAATCTGAAAGCAACAGCATCTATCTCCTTTTGCCCATCCTTCCATCTTTTAAAAGCAAAATTGGGTTTATTTGCTTTTACCATTTCTTGCTTTTCAACTTAAAGTGGCAGCAGCATCCTTCTCTTGCAGTTCCTTGCCTCCAATTGAAGCAAATTGGGTTCTTTTGCTTCTACTTCCTGTTGCTTTGTTTAAGCAGCTTTCAAGCTCAAATTCAAGCAAAACCACCTTTCTCCTTTTGCTTGCTCTTAAATGAAGCAAGATCTGATAAGGGTTCATTCCTTCTAATTATTCTTGCTTTTGACAGCTATCTCGATCAACTTTAAAGCCCCTTCATCGACATGCTTAAATAAGCGACCTGCCTTTACTTTGTATTTTATCAAAGTAAGATTGGGATGTCCTTACTTCAAATAAAACTTGCTATCCATTCTCCACTCTATGCATTAAAACCTGTAGTCAACTATTTTATAACTAAGGCATACATAATTAAGTAATTTTTGTACATAAATCAATGAGTATAGCAAAATCAATCAAAATGTATGTTTCAACATTCAAACTTCTGATGATTAATTATAACTTATATAGACAACAAAGTAAAACATATGAGGTAAATGTGGAAAAACCAAAAAAAATGTCACATGTGTGATTAAATGGGGGAAAAAAAATATAACATTCCCAATAAAAGCAGATTTCACTTTACAAATAACATCATATTTATAGCATTGTTTAAAACTGATAAAAATTTAGGAAATTATTATCCTTTAAAACATAGCATTGTTAGTTTAAACATTTGAAAAACCGAGTTAATAAATATTTTGAAATTCATATAAAGCTCAATTTGAAAAAAAAAATATACGATGTGTTACATTTATAGATATATATGATTAAAATACATTTGTAATTCAATAGTTCCATTTGCCATAAGAGCTGCAATAAATGGTCACAATGTGTGTGCTTTGACAAAAAAACAAACAAATCTTGTAGATTGGTGACCAATAATCACATTATTTCTCTTAATTCTGAAAGCCAGCAATCATTTAAAAAATCATTCCTCAGATTTTATAATATGTTTTAGACTTATCAGCAAACATTTCCTGAATACTAAGGTTTGTTCAGGACGGATGTTGGACAAATCATCAATACAATTAGCCATTTCTTTAATCATGAAACAATAACTAGGTCTTTGCTATCTGTTTTGATCAAATCCTGCGGAACCATCAGGACCCCTCGGTTCTCGTAGAAGCTGCACTTTGTTGGGCTGTAATTTCATTTCTTCTGTCTGTTTGATCAATTTCATCGGCCTGGAAAGACAGTATAGAAATAAATTAAGTCAGTATAGTTTATTAAGTCAGTGGAATATCTAAAGAAATGAAGTTAGTACAATATGTAAAGAAATAAAGTAAGTATAATATGTAAAGTAATAAAGTCGGTACAATATATTAAGAAATAAAGTCAGTATAATATGTAAAGTAATAAAAACAGTACAATATGTAAAAAATATTCAGTACAGTACATAAAGTCAGTGCAAAATCTAAAGAAATAAAGTCAGTGCACTAGTATGTAAAGGAAAACAAATTAAGTCAGTACAATATTTATAGAAATTGAGTGACAGTCAGTACAGTACATAAAGCCATTGGAATATACAAAGTCAATGCAATTGATACAGTAATAAAATCAAAACAATTCTTATACATGTATGGAATAAAACATGAGTAATATAATTATATACATCTGTATAATAAAGACAAATGTCTGAGCAAAATAAAAATAAAGTTTAAAAAATACAATTCTAGAATTATAAATAATGTCAGATATATTATAATATAATAAAATAAGTCTGAGTAATATATAAAGAAATACAGTCATTGCAACATATTTCAAATGATGCAAGAGAGTGGAAGAGAATTAGGGCTGATATATGTAAGTCATAATTGTGCAACTTCAGCGTGTCTGAAATACAAATTCTACATGCCACCTCAATTCTGATCTTCAATATTTCATTCTCTTAACTTAATATCTTTACATGTAGACTTGTCTTAAAGATCCTGTATGTTGTAATTGAGGTTGTATACCATGTATTCTAGGCTTAATGAGGGTCCATCCGCCCTTTCAGGCACTGAGAGTATGGACACCACACTTAAATGAAATTACATGTATATAATATATGTATATAAATATGCTTATAAAACAATTTTCAAACATCAAAGAATATGTAAAATATGTACTGCAAATATTTGTACATATTAAATTATGTAATCATTAAAATATATGCATTCATTTCGTATTAAAAAATTTGACTTAGTCTTAATAGAAATAAATTTCTTATTACCTCCCTTTATTTACATGAAAATGTTAAATTCGGTAATATCTTTTGCATTTTGGAACTTACAATATTGATAAATCTTAGTTTGAGCATCATATCTATGATATCAAACCATAAAACATTGTGTTACAGGATCTTTAATAATGACTTTTTGAAACCTTAGAGATTTTTGCCAAACCTTGACTGAATCACATTTAGAGACCATGGATAAAAGATAATGATATTTACATGTACAAACCATGAACTGAGTTAACTACACAAGCCCAAAATCAATTTAAGGACATAATCTCTAATGCAAAAGTTATTGAAACAGGAGAAATGGCATTTGATGGCATTTGATTGACTAAGGGACACAACTAAAGCTGGAAGCTTTTACTACAACTGTAATGGCTGTGTTTACATTTATGTTTTTCTTTCAAAAAGTTGTCTGTTTCTTATGAATATAATTAGTAATTTTTGACAAAAAAATATATGTTTACATTATTAAATTGTTTTACAAACAATGCCAAGATCAAAGGCACACATACAGACCATGAAAACTTTTGCTAACCTTGATGTTTAAACATTTTGAGTTATAAAGATTATGGCACATTCAATTATTAAGCCTTATTACGGACCTTTTAGTTTTATAAAACCTTTACATTAACTCACCTTGATTCAGGGACTGTTGCCGAGTTATTACAGTTCTCCGCAGCACCGGAGTAGTCTTCTCCCAGAATCCTCAACCTAGCCTCTTTATATTCCGCCTCACGCTGCTGTAGTGTTTTCTGTGGTTGTACCTGAACTCTGTCGAGAAATAAAACTTTTAGTTTAGTTTTCTTTTTGTTTTTGTTATATTAAGCTGATAATTAGGGGAGAAATTAACCCTTGGCATGGTGCCAGTGACAAAATTTACCCAGATGGCAAGCACAGACAAAATCAGCTGGCACATTTGCGCCTTGTGATAATGGTATGCATTGTTCATTATTAAGTCAGTACATCATTTGAAATTTTCCCTCGTAAAAATTTAATTGTATAACATTATTTCAAGTACAGCATTTTATTTAAATTGATGAACGTAACTGATGCACATGCTGCTGTAACTTTAAACACATTTCCAAATTGTCAAACTTGCAAATAAAACAAGTGCATTTTCATAAAAGTCAGGTAATTGTATACAAGTAAAATAAGTGAAATTTATGAGTTACACTTCCTGTCTCACATATCTACCAGTTGACCCTTAACCTGCTGGAATAGAAAGTGACAACGTAATCTTTTTCCACAACCAGTGTACAGCCATGCCCATCCAGCACCATCTGTGCTGTCTGACCAGTCTATATACTGATGGTAGCCCATTCATTTTTTTTATTTTTCATATCAAACTCCATTAAACTTTTAAATGAACTGCTTCATATTCAAAGCAGAACAAATCCATTACAACATTTCACCAGGTTGAGGGTTATAAGGATATCTGTGCACGCTACTGGATATACTCACTTTGATTTATTATTTTTGGCACTTTCGGCATTGTCGTCTGTAGATCTTTTAAGGATTCGAACCTGAGGTGTATACTGAGTTCTACTCCCTTCCTCCTTCATCTGTGATACCCCATCATCAGTGCTGTAATACATATAAAACCAAATCATTAGTGCTGTAATACATATAAAATAATAATATCAGTGCTGAAATACATATAAAATCAATTAGCAGTGCTGTAATAAATATCAAATACCAGTGTCATGAAACATTGCGATGTCATGTATGAAACATTGCGATGTCATGAATGAAACATTGCGATGTCATGAATGAAACATTGCGATGTCATGAATGAAACATTGCGATGTCTGAATGAAAC